GCTGGTGATGAAACCACTACCAAAATAACGCCTCTGTTCCTTATATTTTACTGGGCGATTTTTTAAAAATTGCATGCACACAAGTAAAATACAAAAAGCCTATGGCATAATATAACGCTGAGAGAAAACACATGTTCCAAATATTTTACTCGACGACTTTAAAAAAAACAAAACAACTAGCATGCAAACAAGTAAAATGAGTGTGCTATCGTATCACACGGATAAAAAAAAAAACCTCCACCCCATTGTAGATAACTCTAGCGTGGCATTAAATCTGACAGGAATGTTTAAAAAAAAGCTGTGAAAGATTTTATTTCTTCAGAATATCAGTAGGGTAGGCGTTGTCATTTTTTTTCTCTTTCGCTTTTAGTTTGACATATTTCTGCATTTACGTATTTGATTCAACCCCCCCCCCCCCACGCACACACACTCACACGAACACACACGCACTCACGTACACACACACACAAAGGAGGTTGGGCACCTTACTTTCCATTAAACTAATGTAAAGTTAAAAAAAAACATTTGAAAGGCGCCGCTCGATAGAGCAGCAAATATGAGCTATTTGTATGATCATTGTGAGCTATGATCCCAGTATCTTAAATAAACGTATCTGAGAGATTGCTTTATATGGGACGGCTGTGCTGGCTATTCTACCTACCATTCACCCACCCACTCCCCCACCACTGGTTAATGCCAGATATCCATTAAAGCTGGGTTGGCATAGGTTTTTTTTTTATGTGAATGCTGGAGATTTTGCTTGTACCATCACGGACCTCGCGTGTTATATTTCTTTGCTTTCACCTGTGTTTTGCATTTTATTTTTACAAGTGACGGCCATTGTTAGTTGTCACTGTTTGTTATTCTGACTGTTCTTGTGGTTTATATAATGCAATCAAGATAGGCCAACTGAATGGACTTCTAACAATTTTTATTCACCCAGAATAATAATAATCATGTTAAGATTTATCGTGTATTTTTGCAGCTATATAATAATTCGGCTTGCACCGTACGAAAAGTTTAGCATAGTTTCATTTTGAAATTCAGTAAATCCTAAAAAAATCATTCAAGAACACACACCACCAGTGGCGTAGCCAGGGATTGGTCATGGGAGGGGTTCAAATATTTTTCCATATCCCCCCCCCCTTGCCTACGCCACTGCACACCACTTACTTTCCGCTTATTGTATCCGACCCCCCCCCCCCCGCTTTTTTTTTCTCCAGGGGCACTTGAAACTTTCGGGGGGGGGGGGGGGGCGAATTAGATTTCCGGGGAATGAGGTAGGACAATGGTTCAAGTTTATATTTTATAAATTAATTCTATTTCGTTCGGTGAGTAGATGTGTTTCTGGTGGGGGCGGGGAGGGGGGGTTGGGGCAGGACCGCTGAATACTGGTAAAAGGAGAAGTCACACAAGGGGCAAATTCAAGTATCGGGGAAGGAAGTTGACGAGGGACCAGACGAATACATTAAATCCAGATCAACAAACCGGATGTCCCTCTAACTCCCTACGCCCGATATGGAACTCCACAGTCATGTCCCTCCAGGGTTATATATTAGAATCTACAGCACAAATGTTGGATGGGGTAGTAACTAACAATTGGTTAATCATTATTTCCTGTTTACGAGGCTTAAAGTGAGTTTCACGTCTAAATATAGTCCATTCGGATAATAATCACAATGTTTTAAACAAACAAACAAACGTATAGATTTTTTTTTCTGACGCGGCTTGCCCAACAACGTCCCTGAAACTAATTAATGGCAACGGCTTGAAACGTTGTGGGAATACTTAAACACCCCGCGGGAGGCCCATGATTGCGGCACTATAGCAACAACTTCCGGTAGTTTCTCATGTCGCGCCGAACGAGGCTGAGCGAGACAGCCAAGTTTGGCTTGTGGAGTTTAATTAGGTCATCGACGCGCGTGGGCATTGTCGTCATGTTTTAAAATTTTCGTTGAATTTTTTAAAAAGATAGTTTTAAAAAATAAACATGTCTTTATAACTAACTGTTTTGAATATATTATTTAGCAATTTTACTTACACACGCTGGAGTAGAGTTGGTGAATGCGTGATGGCGGCGGCTGTGGGGAAAATATTGATCGGATTGCGGACGATGCAGCAAGCGCTTGTCTGGTCGCATTAGCTAACAAGACATCAACATGTAAGCCGTATGCCCTTGAGGCATCGAGCCCAACTGGAAATATTCACACGTGCAAAACGTCCAGTTTTAACAGCGGCTTTATAAACAGCCTGAAGTGATAGTAAAAATCTGAAGGACAGAATTCGTTTATTGATCTTACATGAGTACAATGTAGCAAGTGTGTGGGGGTGGGGGTAGGGTTAAAGAAGATGGTCTGTCACGGACAGTGTTTATTTTAGGCGTCTCTCTTTCCCCGGAGGAAATTGAAAAATTAAACTATACAGAAAATATATACTTAAACCAGTGTCCGCCCCTTCTCCTCTTAAAGTTTCTAGTATTTAGTAGTTAATCTGCAAATTGTAATCACAACTACATAATATTATTTCAGAGAATGGACAACCACATTCTTTCCGCTCTTGGAAGTCGTGTGAATCTTTAATTAAAAACTACAATATTTTTAGGTAATATTTCATTATCATTGGACCCAATCAAAAACACTCATGCCGAATCAGTCATGTAGGACACAATCAATGACATCTTACAATATCACATCAATCATGTAGGGCATGACACTTGTATTTTTAAAGTCCTGAAAATCCGTTTATAAAAAAAATGTAATTAAAAAAAATATGATCGAAGAATCCATTCCAAAGAAAAGGGTCCATAGGGCAGCCGAAAATATCAAGTGCCCTCCTCCGCCCCCCCCCCCCCCCCCCACCTCCCCACGGAGAAAAAAGTCTAAAAGAAACACTGGCTGTACGCTCTACCACCCGACCACGCCATCCCATACCAATTTACAGCAAATATAAGATGTGGGCGTGCGTGTCGACTTAAGAAAGATCAGCTTATAAAAAACTGAGTGGACAAGAACGTCCAACAGACCAACACCCTCATACTGAACAAGAGCTTGGCACTCGATAGCTACGCAATATTTTTCGTATGGGGACACTGCAAAAATTTCATTGTATAACAAATGTAGATTTTCACTGAGTGTTGTGGAGAATACTACACCCTTCTTAATATAAGAACGTGCAGAGGCGTAGCGACCCTTCCCGGCGCCCGGGGACAAACTTTTCGATTTGCAACCCCCCCCCCTCAAGATTTCGATTAGCACCCCCCCCCTCAAGATTTCGATTTGCACCCCACCCCCCTCAAACTTTCAATTTGCACCCCCCTCAACCTTTCAATTCATTTTTCCAACCCATTCTGGCGCCCCCCTAAGGTCGGCGCCGGGGACATATGTCCCCCCCACCCCGCCTTCTCTTCCCCCCCCCCCCCCCCCGCTACGCTACTGAGAACGTGCCTGATAACCAATAATAATGAAGCTTTGTAATCAAATCCGCGGAGGTCGTACTAGAATTTAATTACGACAACCTCACAAGTGGTGAAGCACTTCATAAAACTTATCTATATTGCAAGATCTAATAAATTCCATACATCGTGTCCTTTGTGTTCAACCGGCTTTAGAACAATGCGCTATGGCGGCTAATATTTCAATGTAAGTAGATTCTAACACCTTTGATATGCATGTGATAGCTGCATCATTGAGTTAACAGTGTAACAGGTGTTTTGCAGGCACACGTCTTGTATTACACTTCCTAATTACTACACGGCTTCTAATTGATTCCATACTCTGATGAATGGTTGGGTAACTGCCAGTTGGCAGTTAAGGCGTAAGGTTTGGGCAGTAAGTTAAGAAGAGCCAGATGTTGCCCAAGAGTTTGTTCCATGCATCTCTTCGGGAGGTTCATCTCCCCCCCCCCCTACCCGAACGAAATGGAATTTATGTATAAAATATATACTTTTAATTTAATTTAATAGTGTCCCCCCCCCGTCGTCCCCCCCGAAAATGTCAAGCCCCCCCCCCCCCATACCCCGGAGAAAAAAGTCTAAAAAAAAACACTTTTAGGTAGAGTAACAATGAGCTTTGCCGTCTCTACCATGCCGATCCCTATTCTGCTCTTAATGCTGTAATAACAGTTTAGGCTGCCAGTTCAGCCTCCTTCTTAATCTGCTGTCAACTGCACCGACAACACCCCCTCCGTCGTTTTAATAACTACCTTTCTATTGTATGTCAAGCCCGGACTGCCCTCCCCTATGCTAGTTCTTACCCCTTGAGTATGCAAATAAATTACCTCTATACTAAAGTTCTTGCTCCTCAAGTATGTAAATAAATGATCTCCCCTATGCCAAAGTCTCTACCCCACAACTATGTACATGACCATTCAATGTTGGAGTTTTACCCCTCAACTATGTAAATGACCATTCAATGTTGGAGTTTTACCCCTCAACTATGTAAATGACCATTCAATGTTGAAGTTCTACCCCTCAACTATGTAAATGACCATTCAGTGTTGAAGTTCTACCCCACAACTATGTACATGACCATTCAATGTTGAAGTTCTACCCCTCAACTATGTAAATGACCATTCAATGTTGAAGTTCTACCCCACAACTATGTAAATGACCATTCAATGTTGAAGTTCTACCCCACAACTATGTACATGACCCTTCAATGTTGAAGTTCTACCCCACAACTATGTACATGACCATTCAATGTTGAAGTTCTACCCCACAACTATGTAAATTACCTCCCCTATGCCAAAGTTTCTACCCCACAACTATGTACATGACCATTCAATGTTGAAGTTCTACCCCACAACTATGTACATGACCATTCAATGTTGAAGTTCTACCCCACAACTATGTAAATTACCTCCCCTATGCCAAAGTTTCTACCCTTCAAGTAAATAAATGACCATTCAATGTTGAAGTTCTACCCCTCAACTATGTAAATGACCTCCCCTATGGCAAAAGTTCTACCCCTCAAATGACCATTCACTGTTGAATCGATCGACAGGTACTGTGGTGCGGGAGAAAGCCGGACCTTCTGCCGTGTTGAGTTTCTTGTTTGCCGGATTCGCCGCGCTGCTCAGTGCTCTGTGTTATGCGGAGTTTGGTGCCAGGATACCCAAAGGTGAGTCTGTTTTTTTTGCATGATTTGGTAGGGTGCTGATTGATGGTTGGGGGTAGGGGGGACTGTAGGGTGTTGATTGATAGTTGGGGGTAGGGGGGATGTAGGGTGTTGATTGATGGTTGGGGGTAGGGGGGGGGGCTGTAGGGTGTTGATTGATAGTTGGGGGTAGGGGGCTGTAGGGGTGTAGGGTGTTGATTGATGTTGGAGGGGGGGGCTGTAGGGTGCTGATTGGTGGTTGGAGGTGGGGGAGCTGTAGGGTGTTGATTGATGGTTGGGGGTAGGGGGGGCTGTAGGGTGTTGATTGATGGTTGGAGGGGGGGCTGTAGGGTGTTGATTGGTGGTTGGAGGTGATGGGCTGTAGGGTGCTGATTGGTGGTTTGACGTGGGGGGGGGGCTGTATGGTGCTGATTGGTGGTTTGACGTGGGGGGGGGGGCTGTATGGTGCTGATTGGTGGTTTGACGTGGGGGGGGCTGTATGGTGCTGATTGGTAGTTTGACGTGGGGGGGGGGGGGGGGGGGGGGGGCTCAGGAGGATGATGTAGGGTGGTTGTGGACGCATGTGTAATGGACAATGGTAGGGGAAGTAGGCATAAAGGGGTGCGGCGTATTCAACTTGGATGATGTAGTGAGCTATGAAAAAATGAAGGGCATGGTTGTAGGGGGGGGGGGGTGGTGCATTGTATGGCGGAGATGTGGCTGGGGGGGGGTGTGAACTTGGATGAAGTATGGCATATGAATTGCGGGGTAGTGTGTGTGTGGGGGGGGTCGCATTGCGGAGGTGAGACTGAGGGTATAATGAACTTGAAGGATGTTGCGCGCTATGAAAGATGAAGGGCAGGGTAGTGGAGGGGGGTGCATTGTATTGCGAGGTTTTGGGTGCAATGAACTTGGGTGATGTATGGGTTATGAGGGGCGGAGTAGTGAAGGGGTGGAGGCTTTCATGGCGAAAGTGGGGTTGGGGTTGTAATGGCATTGGATGATGTATGGGCTATGATGGAAAACGTAGTACATGAAGGGGGTTGAACAAGAATGCCAAAGTCGATGATGACATGAGAAATGTGGGATAGATAACACAAGCGATGACATCAGAAAGAGCTGACTGCGTCACATAAATCTGTAGACAACATGAAAACAAAAGAACTACTTATCTTTTGTTTGGTCAGCCTTATTAAAGCCGTCAAAGCAATCGACACAGTCTACATTATCGGTGGGTGCTGTCTAGAAAAAAAAAACAATAACACCATTAAGATGATGTTGTTTACTATAGAATCGATTAGACGCCTGAGTCTAGGAAGGATACAAAAAGGTTCTCCTTGATGGGGGGGGGGGGGGGGTGAAGATGGCAAAACTTTCCCTGGTTTAATTAAAGTATGTCAACTGACGGGACCACATGGCGCCCTGTTTGCTATCCCCCCCCCCCCCCCCCCGCCACCCATTTATGAAGGCGTCCCACCTCTTCTTGAAAAAAAAGTGTTGACAAAAATTACATCCAGTGAAAACATTTAATTAAACTTTTTTTGTGTTGTTTAATCCGTGTCTTCTCGGAATAACCGAAATTGAATTATAACAGTTTATAAAGCCAAATTCTTTTTTAAAGAAAGCAAAATAATACTATTGTTTATCAACGAACGAAAAAAGTCTATTACTCATTTCGAACACTAAATGTACCTGCTGGTTAACGAAACTGATTAAGCCTAGCTGTATGTAGATGTGTGTACATTATCAACCAATCGACATACTGGTTTATTTTTAATCCGAATGGTCGACCCCGTACCTCGATTGTTCCTATCACCGGCTATGTGAGTATCATAATTGTGAGTGATTTTCACCCTTTCGAACCTGACTGTCAATATGGTAGATGAAGTAGAGTTCATCTGTTTCCGTGACGACGACATTTAAAAAAAAGTTTTCAGTTAAGTCCCGAGCAGCTTTTATAAAACTACACCCGAGCTAGATACTCATAAGGGCTGAGTGGACTCAGGGATGTCTCACTGACTCTAACCTGGGATCCGAACCTAGAGACTCAAGACTGAACCTTATGTGCTTGTGGCGTCACTAGGTCGGGTGTCACAAGGTGCGGTCCGTACCCCCGCCTTGTGACGCCACTGCTTGTTATCAATGGCGTCACTAGGTCGGGTGTCACAATGTGCGGTCCGTACCCCCGCCTTGTGACGCTACTGCTTGTTATCAATGGCGTCACTAGGTCGGGTGTCACACGGAGGGGTCCGTACCCCCGAATTGTGACGCCGCTGCGTGTAATCAGTGGCATCGCTAAGTCGGGTGTTACCCAGTGATATAAGCACCCCCGCCCAAACTTTGTGACGCCACTGCTTGTTATCAATGGCGTCACCAGATCGGGTGTCACCCAGTAATATAAGCACCCCCGCGCCCGCCTTGTGACGCTACTCCTTGTTATCAGTGGCGTCATTAGGTAGGATGTAAGCACCCCCGCCTTGTGACGCCACAGCTTGCCACTAACGTTCTCTACGCTCGTCTGTTCAGCTGGCTCGGCGTACTCGTACACCTACGTCACGATTGGGGAACTCTGGGGGTTCATCATCGGCTGGAACATCATCCTGGAGCACATGATAGGGGCAGCATCCGTGGCCAGGGCGTGGAGTGGGGCCATGGACGCCATCTTCAACCAAGCCATCCGGAACGGAACCATTGAATCTATTGGTAAAATTAATGTAAAATTAATGTACTATTCAACTTTCAATGTAAGGTATATAGATCTATTAAAATACACTCTTGAATACTTATGCATTTACAGTGTCTATGAAAATTATAAATATTTAAGATATATATATATATATATATATATATATATATATATATATATATATATATATATATATATATATATATATATATATATATATATATATATATATAGATGTACATACATATATATATATATATAGATGTACATACATATATATATATATATATATATATATATATATATATATATATATATATATACATATATATATATATATATATATATATATATATATATACATACATTTTTAATCAAAAATATATAAATAAAATTAAGTCTTATTGCCTTTGCTTATTATATATATAGGCTATATATATATATATATATATATATATATATATATATATATATATATATATATATATATATATATATGTATATATATATATATATATGTATATATAATAAGCAAAGGCAATAAGACTTAATTTAATTTATATATTTTTGATTAAAAATATAAGTCTATGTAAATATTGATGACTGCATAATTAATTATTCTAATACAATTATTCTGACTCATCAAATATCAAACGAACAATTACAGTGTTACATAGAATTATTAGATTAATATTTTTTTTAAATATTGTAATAAGCCTACCTACATGCGTGTGTCATTCTCATTTTAAAAATTGTATGTAGTGCAACCTGGTTTAAAGGGAGATAAAGTTTAGTTTCACCTCCAACAACAGGTGCTAATGGGATGTAACTACAAAATTTGTCATGTAACAATTATCTCCCTTGACGCCAAACTGACGTTTGTTTGATCACATTCAGGTCGTCTGTCACACGAGAACGAATGGGTTTCCGAGTACCCCGACCTAGTTGCCACCGGCATCACCATCGTTGCTTTCACCATCATTGGCTTTGGTGCTAAGATCTCCATCAATTTCAACAGCGTGTTCACCATTCTCAACACCCTCGTCCTTTTGTTTATCATCATTGCTGGATTTTCTTTTGCTGATACCAGCCTGTGGTCTTCCAGTTCAGGGTAAACAACTCTAATACTTTTTTCTTTTCTTGTTATCTTATCAAGGCTTCTTTAAAAAAACGTTTAACAGTTATCTCCCCCCAGCTGTGTTAGAAATATAGGTTTGCTTTCTTCTGCACACAATATCAAGCTTATAGTTAAATTAATTTGATGTAGGCCTAACATTTTGAATATAATTAATGCTTATTTTTAATTAGTTTGTCTGAGGGTGACTAACTTAATTTTTTTTTTATTATTGAGTTATTTATTAATATTGAAGATAGTTTTTTTTAACAATTAGTGTCAATTAGGCTAAAATAAAATGTTTTAATTTTCTTTAATTTCTTATTATTGAAATATTTTTTCAGTTTATATTTCTTAAAATGGCTATTTCTAACAGTGAGCATTTTCTATTACAAAACTTCCCTTTATATTTTTCAAATATTATATTATACGTAGAACATTGATGTTTTTTAAATATTAAAGAGATCATAAATGTAAAATGTTAGGGTGCTTATCAGATATTTTAAAAAAATCAATTGACTTCCAAATGGAAATCACATTTTTCTATATGAAAGCTATTTCCCATTAGGGGTCATCCATAAATGACGTCACACTCGTAGGGGGGAGGGGGGGTCCGTAATTTTGTGACGATGTGTGATGAGGGGGAGGGGGGGGGGTTCAGATGTTGCGACGTCACATTTTTGCTTTATAAAAAAGCAATGTTAGAAAACGAATTTTAGACGTTATTTCGCATTTTAGATAATTGTTTTAATAAATTGTAATAATTTAGACAAGATTTTAGAAAAATATCGATGTTTAAAAAAATTCAACTGCAATTTTGAGGGGGGGTTGTAGGTGGCGGTGTGACGTCATTTTAGGGGGGGGGGGTCTGGCTTTTTGTGACGACGTGTGACGGAGGGGAGGGGGGAGGTAAAAATCGTCCAAAAAAGCGTGACGTCATTTATGGATGACCCCTTATTTCATTAGTTACCAGTCATTTTAGAGCTTATCAATATTGCCTTATTCAATGTTGGTATTAAACTTTATTAGAAAGGTCAACATTTAGTTATCTTTTCTTGACTTGTAGTTGTCTTTTCTTGACCTTCATGACATTTACCACTAGCATCCCATTTGCTACAATTTAGTATGACATTTAACTGGGAGGTTTAGTGGAGAAAATGCTGATATTAATGAATAGCTAGGGGGAAAAATTGGAAAAAATAAAGGAAACGAAGATGAATATCTCGAGTTCAGATCACCTTGATGGTACTCTGTGTAACTTAAAAAAAGTTAATACAGCTGGGCATAGAACTGAGAACACTATCCCTTCAAATGACAGGGTCATGGATACAGCGTTGTGTATGTGTTTGCATTTTGCTTTATGTTTGTGTTTATGTTTGTGTGTCGCGATTGTGTTGTGTTTGGGTTTGTGTTTTCTTTTGTGTTTTTGTTTGGTTTTGTTCTGTTCCCATGTTGGTAGATTTAAAATAGATTAACCTTGGCAAGGCATGTGTATGCAGATAGTCTATAATATAACTGTCCTTTCAGTACTCCACCTGCCCTATTTCTCTTTATTGTGTGTATGTTAAATGGAACAAAAGAAAAAAAATCTATGCCCACTGACCTCTGTCAATACACTCCTCTAATTTATATAATGTTTTATTTTGATAAATGTACTACACAAATTTTCATTTACATAAAAAACAGATTCTAAAACTATTTTTTTTTCAAAAATTTAAATTGTAATTTGAATAATTACTTGTAATTTAATATATCGAATTGCTCCAATTTATTTTTTTATCCAGTTACGGCTTCATGCCGTTTGGCTTTGAAGGAACAATCTCCGGCGCCGCCACTTGTTTTTTTGCTTACATCGGCTTTGAGGGCATCGCCATTGCCAGTGAGGAGGCCAGAGATCCAGAGAAGAGCATTCCAAGGGCCACAGTCTTATCCCTGCTCACAGTTACCTGCCTTTATCTCTTGGCCACCGCCAGTTTGACCCTCATGATTCCATTTTATGACACCAATACTTCAGGTTCGTCAACATCATTAGATGCCTTTAGAAAATTGCTTTTTCTAAAATTTGATTACAATCGCCTGTGTAGGTAATAATATCCGCACTCTAATAACTATAAAATCTGAATAGAGTAGGTTATACAGTTAATAGTTTTATTGAAGAAAAAGCTCTCTCACATAGGTTTACATGATCCTGTTATAATGTAGCATATTATTAAGTTTGTTCTTCCTATATTCCTGGTAATCGACGTCATTCACATTATTTTAATAAAATCGCTTTCCAAAGTTGAATTAATTCTGGCCATCATTAAGTTTTAGAAAATAATTAAGAAATTAGTGGTCTGAGCAATTAAGAATATACCATAAATTGAGACCATTGCTACAATCTTCCTAATTAAAATAATTTTGTTTTAAGTTAAAAACAACACTTGTTAACACTTAAAAATAGCAAAGCCCTTGTGCAAAATTGAATTTTAAAGTCTGCACATCATCTACATTTTAGTATGTGTAATAAATTTTTAGTGAGCAAAATATAATTGGTTCTAAAAATGATTTTATTACTATTAAAAATTAATAGTAACATTACTAATATTTTCTACATTTTTAGCTGCATTCCCATTTGCTTTCGATGAGGTTGGTGCTCACTGGGCCAAATATATTGTTGCTGGTGGTACTCTGCTTGGCATCAGTACCTCCCTCCTGGGCGGGGCTTTCTCCTTACCCAGATCTGTGTACGCTATGGCAGAGGATGGGCTGTTGTTCCATTTCCTGGCCTACATCCATCCTAAGACACAGGTAACTGATTTTAGTGGGCAGATCCAGCTTTAAAGCATAGTAGAAAGAATAGGGATGTGAGAATGAGAGCAGGTTTGCTGAAAGCAAAAGAGGAGTACTATAGAGGCCAACTATGCCAAGTCCACATTTTGAAAAAAAAATTAGATTTCTTTTTGGACTAAATAATGTAGGGCTTATTTAAATAATGAAAGCTGAGAAGTGGGCTAGGTGAAAGAAAAGTAGCCATCTTTAACATTTTGATTGGGTAGTTGAAGTAAATTTTTGGCCACATGATTGTGTGATGTAGTTTAGCACACTACCTAAGTTATAAAAGCAATAATAGTTGCTTAGCAAAAATTCAAAAATTGTTAGTGTGGTACATAGACATGTATTAAAAATTCATATTATTGCTAATTAACAAATTGAATCAATGGCTGTAGGTTCTAAATACAAAATACAATTTTTAAAAAAGTCATATTTCATATTGATTTTTCTAAGTTACAAAAATTTTATTCCCACAGGTATTAGCTTTTAATAAAACATTAATTTTTAAAAACATATTAATGTTTATATTGCCAAGGCAACTGTCTGTTTATTATTCCCACAACGTTAAAAACTTCTCTTTTGTCTCCACCAGACTCCAATATTTGCCGTGATTGTCTTTGGTCTGATCTCAGCACTGATGGCCCTGTTGTTTGAAATCTCCACGTTGGTCGAGTTCATGAGCATCGGAACTTTGTTTGGCTACACTATCGTGGCTGCCAGCATCATAATTCTCCGATACCAGCCAGTCAGCAAATGTCAGTTCAAGGTAAAACAAAAACTGTCAAGTGAAAAATTGGTTTTAATGATATCGATCTTAAAGTTAAATTTCTAGAATTTTCTTGAATAAAAATGTCATTTTTACTTCAAGCAGAATATAAAATTGACTAGTGTAACAAAGTCATGCCTAAAGTTAAACTTTTAACAGCTTAAGTTAAACTTTTAACAGCTAAAGTTAAACTTTTAACAGCTAAAGTTAAACTTTTAACAGCTAAAATTAAACTTTTAACAGCTAAAGTTAAACTTTTAACAGCTAAAGTTAAACTTTTAACAGCTCAAGCCTGAAGAGCAGCCAGCAGGAACAACAACTACGTCTGTTTCTGAACCATCAATGACCACAGTTAATGAAACCACGCCCCTGTCTAAATCTGACCCAACTACCCCAGTTAAAGTAAGTCTCATTAATTAAATAATTACCATTCAGCAGTATGGGTCAAGGACAGGGGTTCTTAACCTGGGTTCGATCGAACCCCAGTTGTTCTGTGAGTCAGTATCAGGGATTCGGTGGTGCTCAAGACATACACCTAAATCAATAATCATATTATAATTTTCCTATTAAGATGGATTCAATATCTTCACAAAGGGTTAAGAACCACTGGTAAAACACATTAAACCCCTAATTAGTTGTCTTCTGTAATTACCTTGCTAATCAATTACTTCCCCTCTCTTTTGGGGAATATAAATTATACTTGCACTATCCTTATCCAGCTCCAAATCTAGAGGGGGAGGGGGTGGAGGTTTCGAAATAATTTTTTGGATATCACATTTCTTGTTTTAATTTTTGCCAAAAATAAACTTAAAACCGTAAAACCATTGTAAGCCTTTAAATCAACACTTTCACACCAGCAAGAAATTAAATATATTTCTGTAGGTGAGTAATTTTACTTTTTATCACCTTAGTGGTGTAAATTCCACATGTGACAAAACTAAGATTCTAACCTGTATTTTCAGCAATCTGACAAACGCAGCATGCTACCCAAGTCTAAAAGTCATGATGACTTTGGCCGGCTGCGCCAGAATCTCCGACAAGTTCCCATTTTGAGGCGGTTTGAACCAGGAGATGGTGTCAAGAGTGCTGTAGTTCTAATGGGTGTCTTCATGATTGGGCTGTGCTTGGTTGTTATAGAAGGCGCTAGTTACTTAAAAGTAAGTGCAAAGTGCTGTAGTTCTAATGGGTGTCTTCATGATTGGGTTATGCTTGGTTGTTATAGAAGGCGCTAGCTACTTAAAAGTAAGTGCAAAGTGCTGTAGTTCTAATGGGTGTCTTTATGATTGGGCTATGCTTGGTTGTTATAGAAGGCGCTAGCTACTTAAAAGTAAGTGTGAAATAGTGTACTTCATAGGGGTTCATTGTTCATAATTTTATTAGAAGGTGCAACATAGTGTATAGAGCTGTTGTTTGTGTACCACTCTATTCACAATGTTTTCTACATAGTAGTAAAGTGGTAGAGAGCTAGACTGCTAATCCGAGTCTCAAATCCGGGTTCAAGTCAGTAGAACGTCTCTGAGTCCACCCAGCTCTGATGGGTAACTAACTCGGGTTAGGAAAACAAAGGCGGCTGGGCACAGTGCTGACCACGCTATCCCTTCACATGCCGAGGTCTTTGAAGTAGATGAACTCTACTTCATCTGCCCCATGTGTCTTTGGTACGAACTGGAAATGATGATGATGATGACATAGAAGTAAATAACTTAATTAAATGGGAAGGGAGAAATGAAAAAACTAAAAAAACCTTGAAAATGTATCAATACATCAAAAATGAAAAGTCTTTCATTAGCCCACTAACCCAAGTCACATTTTTATTTAGGTCTACTTTATTATTTTCACTTTTTTTTTACAATTTTTCTACACTGAACTTGTAGGCTTTATACTGAATTCGAAAAAATGTCATCATTAAATTTATTTTCAGGAAGCAGCATGGTGGTCTGTATCTTTGGTTGTCATCTTTAGTTTCCTCATCGTTATCTTTTATCTCGTCATAGTCGCCCATGAGAAAAATGATGCATTCCTTACCTTCCAGGTGAGTCCTGATAACCCCCTTATAATCATGGTCCAAACTCCTATTATTCATATCTTGCTGGTTAAACTTACCTATCTAGTGTTGTTCTGTTATAATCAGAACTATTGAGTGAGCGGATAAAAATGGCCATGTTTACTAACCATGTTAATGACATTATGTTTTTGATGGATTAAACCCCCCCCCCCCCCCCCCCACCCTCGTAAAACACATTCAGACTGAAAATCTGTCGCCTTCCCCCCTCCCCTCCCCCCCCCCCCACACACACTGGTTTTAAACCCTTAAAGGCTATAAATTATCACACACTTTATCCATTACATGTTTTATGGAACTAACTTTGTAGCTTTTATAAATACAGACTGTTTTTTAAAGCTGAATATTTTCTTTTATGATTTCTTACACATATTAAACTTTCTTCCATTGGCTGCACTAAATTTCAGATTCCCTTTGTACCACTACTGCCAGCCTTGAGCATGCTGATCAACATTGCCCTAATGCTGTCACTCACAAAGTTAACTTGGTTACGATTGGTCATTTGGATTACTGTTGGTATGTTTGTAAAAATAGCTTGATTCTGGTCAGTCTTTGGCATAATTGTATTTATCAATTTTAAAAGCTTGGTTATGCTTTGCACTGTTTTTGAGGGCAAGTAATGGACTAACCCACAGTAGCATTTACTCCTTTAACAAACCAGGCAATAATTAGTAAATAATAATAATTGAAATCTGCGTAAACTAATAAATTTGAAATTTTATTTAACAAATACAAAATACAAAAAGTATAATATTTTCAACTGGGCAAGGATTCTACAATGTTAATAAGAATGGACCTTTCATATAAATAAAATATAGAAAAATTTATAGAAAAGTGCTTGAAAATTGTTTAATTTTTTTTCAGGATTACTGGTGTATTTTGTATATGGCATTCATTATAGCCGAGAAAATAAGAAAACTCAAGGGTATGGACCAATGGTGGAATACACAGGAGATGCAACTATACCAGAAAATACAATATCTGGCATGACAGAGGAAGTGAAGGAATTACAGCCCCAGCGTAAAGATGAGGGATTATACCAGTAGCAGCTGATGAAAAAAAAAGTAGCGTTTGGTTTGAGTTGTATTTGAAACTAGTCCTAAATCAGGTATTAATATTAAAAAATGATTCAGCCAGCCTGTATTTTATTTCTAGAAATAGGAAAAACTTGATTCTTACATTAAAAAACTTTCAAAAACTGATAATTAAAGTTCACATTATGAACTTCTATTGATGGCAGTAGAGTAATTAAATGCTACAGTTTTATTTCCAAGAGAAATTTTTTTAGAGAAGGATTTTATATCTAATAAAAAATTAAGGCTAAAGTTCGATAATGATTTGTGTAAGACGTATTTCAGTTAATTTCATACTTTTTTTTTAGAAATATTCAGCATATTCTGCAACAGTGCATCTACATACTTAAATAAAAAGACATATTTTCTTTGTTAATGAAACTATTGTTGTGCTAATGCAGTATTCTTTAATACTTCTGACATTTTAAATCATTGACCGCTTAGGGAAAAATCAATCATACGCTGTAGATGTTCATTGGTCTGTTATAGCTTCAATATAACTATGCTTTAAAATTAGCAATATGTCCATTCTGTTTAAAAGTTTTGAGTTGGAATGTGGTTGTATTTTTTAACATTCTGATTACCAATAAGTCAAAATGGTAAAGTTGTATTGTATGATTTTAAAATAAATCCAGTGAATTCCTTTAGAAAAAAATAACTTAAGAACAGATAATGAGGGGAATACCTGAAAGGCAAATAAGTAGGTAGAATAATTTTGGGAATAATTCTACTACTCATAAATATTATGGGGTAAGGGATATTGTATAGAATATTTTATAAAAAATTATGTCATCTATGACCCAGTTCCATCAACATAATAGGCTTGTAACATTTCCTTAGACCACCACAGCACAAAACATTTCTAGGAAACCACCCCCTCTTTTCCCGTTGTCAAACAATTCTTTTCTACAAAAAAACGGAGAAAAATGCTTATTACATCATTAGAAAGTCAGTTTATCAACATTTTGATCCCAAAATTTTGCTAAGACAGTGTAATTTTTTGTGCTTTATATTATATAATGTGCATAATACCTAAAAACTAATAAGGGAAAACAATATGAAACCTTATTTGCATCTGACAAACATACCAACTTAAGAAATGTTTATTTCAAATATAGTAAGTTATTAAAAAATGTGTGTTCATCTCCCTGTGTTAATGTCACTTCACAACTTAACATGTGTAGCATTTCTTGATATAATGTAGATCTACATGAATTGTTTTAATTTTTTTAAATTAAATTTACAATGATTTACAATTTTTAAGTTCATAGAGTCATAATTGCTGCATTTTTGTCTGGAACATTTTTTTGACTGAGATGTTGAAAGTACTGTAGTAGTTTGATGCTTTTATGATGAGAATTAAAATATATTTTTGCTATGGGGTCATTCATAAATTACATCAAATTTTTTTAAACAATATTTACGTACCACCCTTACTCCGTCACACATCATTACAAAAAGCCTGACCTCCACCCTCTAAAATGACATCACACCTCAGCCTCAAAACTGTAGTTGAATTTTTTTTTAAATATCTATTTTTTTTCTTGAATATTGACTGTGCTTGGTCAACATAAAGTATTCTAATCAATTTCTATTACAAATTATTAAAACAATTTTCTAAACAACAGCTAAAATTCAGTTTCTAACATTACTTTAAAAAATGCAAAAGTGTGAACCCCCTCCCTCTTTATCACACATCATCACAAAATTACGGACCTCCCCTCCCCCCTATGAGTGCGATGTAATTCATGGAAGACCCCTATTGTGTATAGTTTATTTGTTTCTCAAGTAAACACACTTTGTTTTGTCAGAAATTCTTAGTGTACTCTACAGCAATGCATGCACTAGGTTATGTTAGATTTTTGTTTTTAACAAATCAAGTGTTAGCAACCTTTGAAGTTGTGTTGATTTAATTTGTCAGGCCAAAAAAAAAAAAAAATTACTTCTGTAACTCAATACATTATTTACGACTTACATTGTAGATTTGTTTTGAAGATATTTCCAGTACAAGTAGTGCATATCTGGATAAAAAAACCTCTATTTAAATTTTATAATAAAATCATTTGTATTGCAGCTCCCATTGTAAAATGTACTTCCAATGTTTATTTTTTGTTTATGTGAACAAGTAAATGTTTTAAAATGTAGCATCATTTAAAACAAACTGAAAAATGCTACCCAATTTCATGCTGTCTTCTATTTTATTCTTAGATTATTGATTTTTTATGAGATAAAGTCAATCTTACTTATAACATATCACCTAGGTCAGTATTGTTGATTTTTTAGGTACATAAAGCAGTGACATCTAGTAAAACAGTATTTGGGCTTCATGTAATTAAATCAAGGTAAATATTTGCTCAATTTATATTTTAACAAATTCAGCAAATGATTTAATAAGTTGTAATTAAGACAGCTGAACTCTACTGCATCTGTCCTGTGGCTCATCAGAAGGGTATTTTACCTTACGATAATTCAGTAAAAATTACTTTAAGAAAAAAGTGTTGCTTTTCTTGTATTTTTTTAAATTACATTGATAAGATGTATTTTATAAAACACTTGAATGAACTAGTTAAATTCTGAAATGATTTTAGACACGAAGTAGTAAAAATTACATATGCTAATCACTCTAAGCTAGTCTCTACCTTTTAAAAATGTATGCCACTTTCAATGTGTACAATGCCTGTAAATTAATTTCCTTTTTAGTGTATCGATCTTTGATTATATTTTCTTCAATAAATGTAGAAATTCCAAAATAGAAATTAGCTTTTAAAAGCATATGTCACAACCCAACCATTGATGCTATCTATAAGTATTTTAAGAGCCCCATCTCTTCAAGGGATTATGTTGTGAACTTGAATTTATAATTTTTTTTTAAAAACATTTTACACAAAGTTATTTATCAGATATTGATTGCAATTTGATGTTATAGAAACTATTTAGTTAACATCGCCTTTGTGATGACTGTATATTTATGGAAAATGCTATTCATATTATCAGTGTATTTTTCTGTGATATTTGAGACACATTTGTAACCCAGTGCTCCCTGTGTAATTTGATATAATTTTATGCTGTGAAAGTTTCTTTTCAGATTGGTTATATCACTTTGTTTCTTTTCTTTATGGTGCTATGTTTTAAATCAAATTTTCTGTGTACATTGTATTTATTTTAATGTATAGTGCCACTGAAGATCTTAAATATTGTATTGTTGAGAAATCGTTATATTGAATATTGTGCAGTTGAAACCGTGAATAAATATATATTCATGAGTAAAATTAAGTTTTAAGTATTTTTTTATGGTTGAATCCAGAAAAAAGAGACTGTGATCAGCTTAAAATAGATTGTGGGGATTGTTAGCTCCTAATTTAGATCTCTATAACCTCTCTGACTTCTTAAAGGAAAGTCAAAAAACTTATTCATATTCAATGGACAAAGAAAGATAACTCATCTTTGTATGTCTAATGAACAATCATTTTTAATTATTTTAATTTGACTTTTGTATGTCAAAAAAAAAAGTGATCATGATCATGCATTATTAGTTAGACTTGTGCTCTCCCAATAAATCCTTAGTTCTTGCATTATTAAAATAGTTTTGGTAGCATGAGACTAAAGCCCTATCCAATATCATACACACAGTTACACAATGTAGAATCAAATTATTTTCATAACCATTAGTTGACACAACTTAATTTAATGCAAATAGCAAAAATAGTTTTCACAGTAAAAAATATCATTTGCATATTAAGTGGGATATAAAATCAATATATGAATGATTGATGCAAATAATTAAAAGTGGTAACTAATTAAAATATTTGTGTGAAAATCAAAAAATTTACAATAAAAGAAACAAGAAGGGAAACAATGTGCTTATAAAATTAATTTACAAATTTGAAGTAGAGAAAGAAAAGCTTATTTCTTCTAGCCTTAACATGAAATAAGAATGGCAATTATAGCCAGGAAATGTAAAAAAAAAAAAATACAATATAAGCAAGTAGAATTGATGTTACTTCTGCTAACATGGTATAATATCTAGAGACTCTCATTGCACCTCAATGTCTGATAATTATTAACAGCTTTCAAAAACTACACAGAGCCTACATACACATTTTAATTTCATTAATTAAAATTTTAACTATTTTTTTACACCCCAGACACCACAAGCTATATTTGCTGTCCAAACTATCTAAATATGTTTTTTTAAAAAGTATTCTAAATATAATAATAATAATCTATATATATAATTCTCTTCTGGGAGCCGTTAGAAAACAAGCTGCAAGCGCCTCCTTGCAGTCCCCTCTCTTTCTCTCTATCACTATCACTACCACCCCCACCCCACCCCCACATTGTCTGGTGAGCTGTGGTCACGCTGTTTACAATTTACAATCATAGAGACGGGTTTGGTGACGGCTATTAGGTGCAGATAATTTAGTTTGAAACGATTTTAAACTTACAGGAGGTAACTAAGAGGAGGCTGCTTTCACGGGGGGGGGGGTGTAGGGTAGGGGTTGGGGGAAAGGGGGGGGTTAGTGTTTTAAAGCAAATATTTTCAGTGGCAGCATTGGTACTGTTGAATTCACAAATTATGAATTACTGAAAAGTAGAAAATAAAACAACTAAATAGCGGCGTATGATACGCCGCGGGTCGGCTCGTATAATATAATTCTCTTCTGGGAGACGCTAGAAAACAAGCTGTAAACGCGCTCCCTACCACCCCCACCCCTACATGGTCTGGTGAGCTGTTCAGTGACAACTATTAGGGGCAGATAATTTTAAATTTAGTTTGAAACGATTTTAAACGTAGGGGGGGTAACTAAGTGGAGTTTACTTTAACAGGGGGGGGGGGGGGTTATCGTCCTTAACGAGCTACTTATAGTGTTTTAAAGAAATATTTTCAGTGGCAGGGTTGGTTGTGTCGAATTCACAAATTATGAATAACTGAAAAGTAGAAAAAACAACAACTAAATAGCGGCGTATGATATGCCGCGGGTCGGCTCGTATAATATAATTCTCTTCTGGGAGACGCTAGAAAACAAGCTGTAAATGCGCTCCCTACCACCCCCACAAGGTCTGGTGAGCTGTGGTTCACTCTAAATGTTTACAAACAGAGCCGGGTTTAGTGACGACTATTAGGGGCAGATAATTTAGTTTGAAATGATTTTAAACGTAGGGGGGGGGGGGGTAACTAAGTGGAGTTTACTTTAACTGAGGGGGGGGGAAGGGGGGGGGGGGTGGTTATCATCCTTAACGAGCTACTTATAGTGTTTTAAAGAAATATTTTCAGTGGCAGCGTTGGTAGTGTCGAATTCACAAATAATGAATAACTGAAAAGTAGAAAAAACAACAACTAAATAGCAGCGTATAATATGCCGCGGGTCGGCTCGTTCTAAATATTTTTTGTAGGTAAATACAAAAACATAGGCCTTCTTTTGACAAAAGAAATTTGTAATGAATTAATTTGGAATCAACTTGCAGGATGTGTAATGTTTTAGAATACTTTCAATATGACAAAAATTGAAGAGTAGAAACTAAGTGTTACAGCATTTTTTTTACTTCCATGTTCATACAAGATGATACATGGATTTAACAATGACCAAATCTATACTTGAAACAACTGATGTTCTTTTTCATCCATAACATGCCAATGAAATATAAATTTCCCAACAGAAACAAAAATCTTCAACAAAACAGCTTGACCAGATAAGTTTGTTAATTATGCACTGGATTTTTTCTTCTCTTGCTGGTATTTTAGAATATGCTGCTGGATCAGGCCATATATTTGTTCAGCCTTCTTGTCTTGGCCAAAGAAATCAACAAATTCTCCTTCAGGATTCATCAGATATGCGATTATGGAGTGGTCGACCTACAAAAATAAAAATAAACACATAACTGGCTAAAAAAAATTTTAAAAATTTGGTTCATGATTTTTTACCCATACAAATGGATTAAACAACGTTTTCCCACTAGGTCCACGACAAGTTACGATAATATTTTTTATTTTAGACATTTTGAAGTTTTTGTAATTAGATTTTTTTTATCAAAAAAAAAAAGAAAGTCTTCTGTTTAAGCAACAAATTATGTGGTCAAGGAATAGTGTAATTAGTTACAGTCCAGTTATTACATCTGTAGGGTGACCAATAGTAAACAGTTTTAAATAGTACCAGATGTACTATAGGAAAAACATAAAACTAATCAGATAAGCTATAATACTTAACATACAGTCCAATCTTTTCTTTCTAAATCTATTTAACAAAATACTCCCTCTAAATTTTAATTATTTTTAAATTGAAAATTGATTTTATATTAAACAAGCTAAATATTCAGTTAAATGAAGATATTAGATACAGTTGAAATAATAAGTAGTTTTAAGGTTAAATGATCTTTTATTGAGCTCAAAAGCAAGTGATATTATTTTTCAAAATGATAGGGCCTATATATTTACAAGTGTTGATTATAAAAAAAAGAGCACGCTACAAACGTGTAGAGGGGATGGAAGCATAATAATCAGTACTGTTATCGTAAACTTACTATATAATCTTGGTCCTCATCCTTGGGTCCAGCACTAAAGTACACCCGAAAAGCTTTAGTTGCGGCATGAATTTCATCGACTGTTCCAGTAAAGCCTAGCAACCTGGGAGAAAACTCTGGTGGAGATAAAACCCAAAAAAAATGAGGAAGTGCCTTATTGTTTTTAAACTGCTATGATTACACGTATTTTAATCATCTTTTATGTTTCTTAACACTTAAATGTTGATTAGAAAAATTAGCTTGAAAAAGAGGAGTATTCTGTGAACTTTGTTTCTATATTATGATAAATGATTTAGCCAGATTTATTATTTAATATTTAATAAAAAGTAAAGATTTCTCTTTAGACCGAGTAATCCTAGTAGAGTTCACGTTTCGTAATTCTAAAATGCTTAGCACTTTTAGCAGTAATTTAATGCCCTTAAACTATTTTATTTATCAGATTTTTTTTTTTTTTTTTTTTTGCAAAGCTTTATTCTTATAGTACAACTTAGCTAGAATGTTTAAAGAATCTTATTATCACAATAAACATGTGGCACTTAAATGAGTAGACAAATAAATATAAATATTCACTAATGTTTACAATGTCTACTCCAATGTATTTTTGTAATTAAGTCATGTCTACTTTAATATATCAATGATGTAACAGAATTATACAACTAAAATCTCACCACCACAGTATTCTTTCAATGCTTCAGGGGTGTCCCTCTCAGGATCTACTGTGATAATCAAGGGCTGTATCTTTGGGAGATTTTTATCAGCATCTGTGTCAGATTCATGCAAATATCCATCACTAATTTCTTTTTTAGAAAACTACAAATGTATATAATAATTCACTAAAGCTTTAGTATAATTTGATAGTTTTACTCATAAAAAAAAGTTTTTATTATAGAAATGTTTAACATATATTTCTTTCATTTGAATTAAATCAACAGGAGGTCAATATTTTAAACATCGATGACCAGGATGATCAATATAAACTGATGATAATGAAACTTACGACAACTCAAACATCACTAACCTGTTTTTTTAATGACATTAACAATCTTTTCCATCTCCTCGGGGCAGACGTCAGGGCAATGAGTGAAGCCAAAATAAATTAGAATCCACTGACCCCTGAAATCCTTACTTGACCTTTTGTTACCATGGTGATCTGTCAACTCCCAGTCCCCTCCTAGTTTTGCTTTCCCATAATACTTTTGGCTTGCATTTTTTATCCCTGGAAGAGATATTAAAATACATAGTTTTAAACTACATTTCTTCTTCTAATTCATTCTCAACTGTGATGTTGGACAGAATTTCTGCCAACACAATTAAGTATTATATGTGTCAACCTGTTATGTGCTAAATAGGCTGGTGGCTCTGATTTCAGCCTGCTTTACTTTTTGGATTTGCTTCCATAGCCTTTGTCCACCCAAGAACAATCTGCAGTTGTTTGATTTTGGAGTTGTCTCTCCTAGATAGGTTGCTGTCCCCAGATACCATGGGGTTCAAACTTGTGACTATTTGGTTTAGCAACCATGAGCTTTACAGACCTGAGCACAACGACCCCATTAGATTACATTATAGATCATATTCTTTTTTTAACGCTTGTAAAATTTTTAATATAAGTGTAAATGACTACTATTTTAAGCACAAAAACACCACACACAATAAAAATAGTCCACATACATTAACAATCACAAAATAAATAACATTCTGTTACTTAAAAAACAGTCCACATACATTGACAATCACCAAATAAATAACATTATGTTACTTAAAAAACAGTCCACATACATTGACAATCACCAAATAAATAACATTATGTTACTTAAAAAACAGTCCACATACATTAACAATCACAAAATAAATAACATTATGTTACTTAAAAAACAGTCCACATACATTGAAAATCACAAAATAAATAACATTCTGTTACTTAAAAAACAGTCCACATACATTGAAAATCACAAAATAAATAACATTATGTTACTTAAAAAACAGTCCACATACAATACATTGACAATCACAAAATAAATAACATTCTGTTACTTAAAAAACAGTCCACATACATTGACAATCACAAAATAAATAACATTATGTTACTTACGTAATTGTTTTTCCTTTTTCAGGTACTGCATCCACATCAAGACACCAGCACCAATACAACCAACAGTCAACAGTAATTTCCATGACACAGGCTGTAAAATGAACATGTCAATAAAGATTCCATTCATTAATGCTTTGTAAACACAGTGTGTTCTTAATGACAATATATTAAAGAGAATACAAATTCAAATTTCTAATTTATGACCTGACAAAATATAGACTAAATAATAAGTTTGGTTGAATAATTTGTCATAATATAGAAAGCACTTACAGTCGCCCCTGAATAATCTTTCTTTTTAGGTGGTAGGCTGGGATCAGACGAATTTGAATAGTGTTTCAACAAAAATTGTTGTTGTTGGCAGATAAGCTGGAAAAAAAAAATAAGCCAGTCATGTTCTACTAGACTCAGAGAGGCATTGGATATGCACATCAAAACAAGATGTTAATGTATTTAACTTTTTTGAGTCTTGCTTGTTTGATATTTTTTTTTGTAAAGAATAGCTTTTTATAAGAATTCTAAATCATGCAAGTATTCTAACTAGTGTTCCGTCTTAAATATTTGCTTCTCAGATATGTATTAAGTTAATTTTTCCTAATAACAGAAGTTCAAGTGGGTGTTACTTATTTTACTTCAATACCCAGGCAGTCCTAATTAGCCTATTAATTTATCTGTCACTGAAAGAATCCAGAATCTTACGGGGTTGAGATAGTAAATGTAATGACAGCGGCGTGCATTATTACAGAACCAACATAATAATGAACACTTAGTCTTATCCTTTTTAACGTGTTGTTCAAATTAAATAAAAAGGCCTAGATTTTATCTGTTTTAGTGAACTTGGTGGCAAGCCTTTTCGACGGGGATAATGTGTTGAGGCTGTTTCAAACTAGCAGGTTTGAAACATTTATGATGATTCGTTTTGAACAAGGTATACATATACTAATGCTTATTTATCGTTATTTTGATTGAACATAGCATTATAGAGGTTCTCCGTCAATGACCTAGGTATTTTCCTCCGTTCACCTCCTGTCATAAATTGCGGAGCCGCCTAAGTTGACGTCACAAATCTTCACTTACTCCCGTAGCAAAGCATATGTGACATCATTTATGGACAGTCCCATATCACTCATATTTGATATTGACATTTGGACAACAAAGAATAACCAAAATGTGTCTGACAAGTGGAGACTTGGGATCGATCATAATTACAACACGCACTTAAGGGGTGGAGTGGCTGATGGTTTTAGACGATGTCTTACGAGGGAAGCTGGTGGATAATACATTTTGTCTCTCTGTATATATAAATGATGACAAATATTTATTGTTGTCAAAATTATGGCTAGATATTTTAGTTAAGGCAGAGCGAAATGTAATTTTTTTATATTTTGACTTTTTTTGTGACATTGACAACAAAAATATGATGGATGTTTGGGGTTTAATTAAGGTAAAGAGAAGTAAAAAAAAAAAAGTGGTCAAAAGTTAAGATAGAATCACTAAGTTATGAAAAGAAAAACTTGAAATGAAAATAGTGAACATTCAAACAATAAGAAAAAACTCAAACTAGACTCTATATAGGCCTAGTGATAGTAATGATCAAATAAACATAAGTACAAAAAACGTGATTTTATACATGAATACAAGTTGCATCTCACAATACTTCTAGAATTAATAAACTTAGGCCTATTTGTTAGGAAATTCAGTTTTTAAAGGGCGGAATTTAAAAAAAAAAAATGCTTTGTAGGACGGACTATAAAACAAGACAATCATATTTAAATACGTTTTCATACGAATATAAATGGAAGGGAAGCTACTCTAAATAACTTTTTCTTAAGATGGCGGCTGTTTTTAATAACAAAATTACTATCTCGAACTGGGTTGATAAAAACTAATTTCATTATATTTAAATTGATTTAACCATCAATTCAATGGTGATCTATTACTCACTTATCTATAATACTATATTAAAATATACGAAAATAATAAATATACTCATATTTTTTAAATTTAAAGACATATTCATTTAATTCATTAATTCAATCTCCCTCACGAGTGACTCACATTACTAGTTTTGGCCGAATTTACGACGCTAAACTAAGAATAGGCCTAATATTTTACCTAGTTAACTACCAGGGTAAAACTCCATTTTAGCGTATTTTATTTCTCCGCTGCTTGTTTACCTCCATTTGAGCGTATTTTATTATAACAACCGAAACACACCAAAACATTAGGAAAACACGATTCATTTATTTGTATTGTATTTTGTTTTAACAAATTAATAAAAATGAATAAAAAAACAAAGAGACTGACTTTGTTTTAGATTTTGTTAATTTAGTTTTGTTAAAACTTGAGAAAAATCCAAACTTAGAATATTGAATGTGCAATGTTCGTGTGTCAGAATTTTCATGGCAAAGGGTGACGTACGTAAACGTAACTCACAATTGCAAGGCGGTTAAGTTTGTATTGTTACAAGTATCTCCCAGGCATGATACTATATAAATAAACATTAATGAACTTACAATGACCCCAAAACTGAGGCCAACACAATTTCAAATAGCAATTGCCCGTGCTATGACGTATGCTGATAATTCAATGTCAATGTGAACTCACGGTGAACCAGCGACCATGTAAGGATTTTTCTCCCGCTGATGATTACACGAGATTCGATATTTAATTGGAACAGTTCTAATGCTTTTTATGTTTTTTTTTACCTTTTCTAATTAAAAATCACATTCATTAAAAAAATAAGTAGATCTAGTGTTTTCCTGACGCTTTTGTGTGTTTCGGTTGTGTTTATAATAAAATAAGCTCAACTGGAGGTGAACGTGAAGCGGGGAATAAAATACGCTAAAATGGAGTTTTACCAACTACTCTACCAGTAACCTAACACCCCTTTTTAAAGAAGATTCCATTATCGGACACCGGTATAAACATTCTCACCTAAAATTATACTAGACTTAGACTTAGGAGTAAGCCATTAACTAACCGTATACGCTACAGGATTAATCCTAGCCCGAGGTTGGATGGGAGAAAACTGAGTGATGCAGCTGTTTTTTGACGACGATGACCTTGTGCCGGTAAATTTTATAGCTTCATTTCTAATCGTATTTGTAGAAGGCTTTTTTAAAAGAACTTCAAAGCACCTTGTACACAAAGTAAGTGGCGATCTAGATAACTTAAGCATTTTAAAAATTAAAATTTTTATGTTGAAGACGAGTCAGACTAAATCACTGTTAAAAAATAACATCAGTTTCAGTAAAATGCTAGGCCTACTTAATCGAGTTTAAACCGGAAGTCATGTATTGTTTAATTTTTTAATCTATAATAACATTCGCATTTTAAATATTTTTCTAACAACGACAAAAAAAATTATTTTGAAAAATACATGATAATGATAACCGCTGTCCAATATTTCAAAATTATTAGTTGTATCTATTAAAGTAACTGGACCTTATCTGTTTTTTGAATAGATTTTTATAAGAGTTTTCTTTTGACCTATGACTTCAGATAAGGATATGTGTGATCAGAACCATGCCCCCCCCCCCCCAATCTTTAATTTCCCAACTTATCAAATACCAATAACATCCACAAAATCAAGAGTGAATTCTAAACTTTTTGATTTGCAATTGTACACTCTACCTGACAAAAACACCCCATAAATTCCAACAGAAAACATTTATGTTACTGACAACACTATTTTGTTAACTGTATTATTTAAGAATTTTCGGACGACTAGAACAGGTACAAAAGCTTATTACAAAAGACAAAAACAAACCATTAGTAAAAAGTAATAATCTGTCTTTAATTACAATTTAAATACACTCCTTCAAATACTACATTTAACTAATAAAAGCCTCTGCTATACAGTGAATAATTTTTTTACATACAGTTAACATTTTAACACATTCATTTCACAATAGATGCTCATTTAAAAAAAACCTCCAAGATTAAGAATGTATTTAAAGGTGTTGATTCATTCATAAATAGCATTTGAAATATGGTTTGACACTAAAGTAGATTTCTCTTCTCTAATTCATTATATTTCTTTATATGTTCTGTCACAGTTTTAATGATATTCTCAGCCTTCACACTTCTATCAAAGTAGTTGACGAACTCTCCTTTAGGGTTGATCAGGTAAGTGATTATTGTATGATCCACCTGAAAAAGACAATTTCCAATACAATTTTCTGATTGATGGCTTAGTATTCTTATAATAACAGCACCTTTAATACTACTTGGCACTTGGTGAACTATTTAATCAAAATTGGAAAAATAGTTTACTAAGGGTAAACTTCAGTTCTGCTAAAATAGAACTATTTATGCAATTGAAGTGTCTCCTTACTATATAGTCATTGTCTGAGTCTTTGGGTCCCTTGCCAAAGTAAGCTCGAAATTTCTTAGCAATCTCCCTAATTTCATCTTCAGTTCCAGTAAACCCAATTATTCGAGGTGATGCAAAATCTAAAAAAGAAAGTCACAAAATATTAAGTATTGTATACTTATTTTTAATTCATTTTTTAGCGCAATTTCCTTACAGGAATTGCGCAATTTCCTTACAGGAATTGCGATTATTAACTCGTCATTTCTGGATGGATGGATGGATGTGTGTCGCTTTAAGTCGTATCTCCTCCTCAACGAAGCAATATCGAGGACTAGTTCCAAAAGCAAATATGTTAAGCAAGTTCCAAGGATGATTGTGGGCCAAAAAATTCCCGGAATTCCTTCCTGGATTTCCCGGAAAAACCAAAAAAACCTCGAAAAAATGCAGTTTTTAGCCCATATCTCGGCAACCAGACCACTTAGCGACTTGAAACATTTACCAATCGATTCCTGCCCTAATTTAGAACAATATTGCAGAAGAAAGTTTTCAAAAATATCCTTTCGTTCGGTCACAAAAAATTAATTAAGGAAATTGCGCTTAAATTGTCACTAGACTTTTTATTAACTTGTTTTCCTAAATTCTTTATACCTTCAATCAAATTTTTTAATTTTTGAAAAAAAAAATTTCCCTGAAATTCCATAAAATGCTGAGTAGGCTAATCACTAAAAAAAAATAAACTGGGAGTGATCTCCCCTAAACTTTCTCGAATGTTCTTATATAACTTGGAATATAGACATGATTTTTAATTACTTAAACTTTTAAAAATAGAATAGAATCTCATAGAAAAAAGAATTGTGCACCAAGCGAACGCCAAAACAAAATGTGCATAATAGTGAGCAATATTATTAGTACTTTATAAATTTACATGCGTTTTTTGAGAAATCGGAAATAGCATAAATTAGTACTTCCGGTCAACGGAAATTACTCAAAATTTGACAGAAGGTAGAGAATTAGATCTTTTACTTACATGTGAAATTTCATTTATCTATCTGAAATAGTACTCAAGTTATAGGCTTTTGAAAAATTCAAAGTAGAAAAGGTACCACTTCCGGTTATCGGAAATCACTTAAAAGTTGATACGGATCTACGATTTTGATAAAATACTTATATATGAAATTTCATCAACCTAGCTGTAACGGTACTCAAGTTATCGTGTTTACACACAGACAGACACACACACACACAGACATACGGACAAGATTGCAAAATTATGTTTTTCCGTATCAGTGATTACAAGACTTTCTCTATACTTTGTATATATGAGAAAGTAATAATGAAAACTTATATAAACCTATTACCATTAACAGAATCATCAAAACAATAGAAAAACACTCTGTCTTTTCCAATCATTACCTTTCAAGTAATCTTTGATAACAGAAGGTGAATCTCGCTCTGGATCTAGAGTGATGAACATTGGCTGCAGATCAGGCAAATCTGGATTTTCATCTGAAAACAAAAACATTATCAGTCAAATCAACATCTTTATTAACACAACTAGATGAACACTTACAGCAACCATTAATTAAAACCAAAAAATAAAGCAAGTAGAAAATGCTTGACTTGACAGTTCTATGAACATGCAGTAAATTAAAAATAAATAGTGTATTCTCATTTTGTATCAAACGGTTTGGCCTAAGAGGTAGACCACTAGGCTGCTAACCTGAAACTCAAATCAGGGTTAAAGTCAGTAGAGTGCCCCTGAGTCCACCCAGGTCTGAAGGGCACCCATGTTAGGGAATGAAAAAGGCGGCTAGGCAAAGTGCTGACCACACCTTCCCTTCATAGGCCAAGGTCAAGAAACATGAACTCTTCTTCATCTGCCCAATGGATCACTAGGCCTAAAGAGGATTCTTAACTTTTACTTTATACTGATTTTTTAAGGAAAAGTACTTGTACAATGCTTAATTAAATTTATAGTTACATTTATCAAATATATATATCTTTACAAAATGAGGATTAGCTTTTATTTATATTTAACATATACAAATCTAACCAAATGTTTTGACAATTTTTCCCAGCTTCTCCATTTCTTCTGGACAGATATCAGGACAATGAGTAAATCCCATATAAATTATGATCCATTCTCCTCGAAAATCAGTGCTTGACCTTTTGTTTCCATAATGATCAGTAAGTGTCCAGTCTCCACCCATTTCAATTTTCTTGAATTCCTCGTACCGAAACTTTTCGTCCTCTGAATCAACAGAAACATAAAATTTGCATTATTTTTCTAGTGATTTAATAAGAAGGACTTTACATTAAATTTTGTTTTTATTGATTTCTATTCTCGTGTATTTGAAAACCAAAACATACCTAACTCTTGGGACCTGTCAGCACTATAAAACATGTAGTAAATACCACCAGCTATGCTGGAAACAATTAGCAGTCTACCCCAAAAAGGCTGGAAAAATATGTATAAAACATAGTCAACAGTTGTTTTAACAGTGCAGAATTATCAATGATTTTAAAATAAGACTAAACTTTTTTATAAAATTCAGAGGAAAAAGATTCTTCAAAATGTTTTAATACATTCACATATTTAGAGACAATGATTTGGACAGTTTGTCACAAATATTTTACGATTAAAAGGTGTTTTTTTTTTCCTGCATAGGTCCTACTTACAATATTAACTGTTCCATCAGCCTTCTTTTTTGAATCACCAGACTCTGTGGCATAAGTCACTGCCCATTGTAACCGCAACAGCTTTTGTCTGCTAAAAGTACTCAAGTGTTTCTGAGGAAAATAATAAAGACTTTTAAGTTTTTTTTCTACTAATTCTCAAATTTTTATATATATTTTTACATCATAGAAAGGTATAATATCAAATGTTTATGATGAGAAATGACTGTATGTTATAGAGATATCAAATTTTGATACTTATTTCATTGCAGAAAAGCCTATATTAATATTTTCATCAAAGTCTCATTGGGGCTGCTAGCCTAATGACTTTTTTTTTACTTCTTTCCCTTATCATAAAACAAGTCAGACCCCCCCCCCCCCCCCACGAAATGTTTATTACTTTTTTACTATTTTAAATAGCAGTTTCTTTATAATTTATAATTTCAATTTTGGGATAATATTTACATTATTTAGTATTTAGTTAGAATCAACCATTTTGAATCCCTAGTTAGCTGAATGCGCCCTATCGTTATCATCATCTTGTTGCATATTGATTGAGTAAAGACAAGTTGGTAATCTATCGTTTTGGGTACGTAAAATCGCCCGCGACTAGTAATGTGAAAGACAGGTGACTCCTTAAATTTTAATAATTATTTCACATTTTGAGGAGGATTTATGTTTTGAAAAATACAAAAATGTTTCCTTGTTTCATTTATGTACCTGTTTTCAAACAATTGAATTAAAACTTTTCAATAATAAATATTAAATGAAGACTAGCGATGTTTCCAACAGATGCAACCATTCTCATTTACTATAGCAGCCATCTTGTTTAAGTTCTTTCTTTGTTAACTTATAGCGCAAGATTCAGGGGAAGGCAACTCTATTTTACAAATGGCTGCTGTTTATACAGGAAATCCTGCTCGCAAACACTGCTGGTTAAAGTTAATTTCTTGCCTATATTGATATATTTAGCTATTGATTTAGGTTTATTATTCATTTATCTATAATATTTGACACAAATATATCAAATATTACATCTATTAAAATAATTAAAGCCTTGACAATGAGGTAACTTTTTCGTACATTAGAAGCCGCGGGCGATTTTACGTACCCAAAACGATAGATTACCGACAAGTTATATAATGGGCCTAAGGCCTAATTAATATTTAATATGAACACAAAAACAATAATATCAACAATCTCATTTAAATATATGCATCTAGGCCTAAATAAAACTAATAAATAAAATAAAATTACTGTATCATTTCTATTTGCAAACCATCGACTTTGTTGACATTTGACTGATTTGACTTTGTTGAAGAGAGGATCGTCTGATTTTGTCGATAATTGAAACTGTTTATAATTTGCATTAGTTAGAAAACAGAAGGGGCGGGTAGAATATAACAATACGCAGTTAGGTCTACTGCGTAACATCAGCTTTTGAATATTAATAGCCACGCGTTCCATTTCTTTTTTAATTAATACAATATCAAGTTTATCAAAAATGTTGAAAATCGACTCAGATGGCGATTTGTGATGTAATTTTTTTTTCGGACTCCTTTCAAAAGATTCATATAAATTATTAAAACTCTAAAATAAGAGAGTAATGGCCTTTTACTAAATTCGCCAAAGTACATATTAATTTATTTCCTAGCTCAAATAGAATGGGGGGGGGGGGGGGGGGGGGGGGGGGGGGGAGAAGGGGGGTCTATACACATGTATATGGGGAGTGGCGGCATGCTTGAAAGAATCTCTGGAAGGGTCGGTTCTTGTTTTAGAGGGTTTGGGAAGCTGGGAAGGAGGTTGTTAAATAAGGGCATTAAATCGAGATTTATAGTTCATCATTAATTTTATATGTTCCCTTGTCTTGGGGGGGGGGGGGGGGGTCGTCCATAAATGACGTCGCACTCGTAGGGGGAGGGGGGTCCGCAATTTTGTGACGGTGTGTGATGAGAGGGGGAGAGGGGGGTACAGATGGTGTGACGTCACACTTTTGCGTTTTAAAAAAGTAATGTTAGAAAACGAGTTTTAGCCGTTATACTTCGCGTTTTAGAAAATTGTTTTAATAAATTGTAAAATCGGAATTGATTAAAATACTCTATGTTGACATAGTTCAGACAATATTTTGGAAAAATATGGATGTTTTAAGAAAAATTCAATTGAAATTTTAAGGGGAGGGGTGTAGGCTGAGGTGTGACGTCATGTTAGGGGGAGGTCTGGCTTTTTGTGACAATGTGTGACGTGGGGGGGGGGGGGAAGCGGGGAGGTAAAAATCGTCAAAAAATCGTGTCGTCATTTATCGACGACCCCTTGTTAAGACGTGCCAATAACGTGGTATGTCTAATATCACTGCTTTTTGTATGGATACGTTCTATTGTCTGTCAAAAAAAATTCTAAAAGCGGTTAGAGATTTCGGGGAGGCACGTATCTGACTTCTGAATCAGACGTAGGTCCACTTATGTGAGCCCATGGGTTTATGTGACCCTCCCACCCCTCCCCTTAAACATAATTTCATATGACGAAGTTACACGCGGGATTTCTTATAAACATTTTTCTCGGGCGGGAAGGGGGGGGGGGATTGCGGTGGACGGTGGATGTGCTCGAGGGATGTGTTTCACCCCCCCCCCCCACCCCTTTCCGGAGATATGCCTGAAAGAAACTCTGTAAATATGTCATGGTCAGTCTCAGTGGCGTAGCGAGGTCGGGTGTCACTCGGTGCGGCACTTATGGTGTCACACCCCCCCCCCCCCGCCTTAAATTTTTCTCTATATATTTTGCTATTTTTTTGCCTTGGTGTCATCCCCCTAAATGGTGTGACCCGGTTCGGTCCGCACCCCCGCCCCCCCCCCCCTATCGCTACGCCTCTGGTCAGTCTGTCGAATATGGACAACAATAAAAAACCTCCCACACCAGGAGTAAGAGAGGTTCAGACTGTTGTGACGATGTGCTACGTGAGGGAGGGGGTAGATTCCGGGGGGGGGGGGGGTGGACAAGCTATGTACAAGCGAGCGGACCGGATAATAATAAAAAAATGTTCATTGGTGAAATTATTATTTTTTTTTCTAAAATTAAAAGCACTAGATAGGTATATTACAATTACTGCAGTACCGTCCTGTAGGCCCAGGCGGGATTCCCCCACCCCCACCCCGAGGTCCTGATATTCTTTCAGGCATCTTTTCCGGGTGCCTCCCCCCCCCCCCCCCACACACACACGCCACCCCGAACGAAACATATAATTTCAATATAAATATATACACTAATTTGATAACCAGTATCCGTCCACTACCTTACAGGACATTTGAGAAGAAAAATGCCCGAAAGAAACCCTGTTTGGGTGGATTAAAGAACCTTGACGTAGCATGCACTGTGAAACTAGTTTGCAAACATGTAGATTTTCGCACTTTTTTGGGGGTTAGGTAGAACTTTGTGATCTTTTCTTATTTTTAAGGGGGGGGGGGGGGTAGAGAATCTGGCTTAAAAAAACAAGTATATGCCAGACGCTATTTATGTATGACCCCTAAATCCAAAATATAATAGATTGTTACTCTTTTAAAGTTAAAGTATTGCTTTGATTTGTTAGAACGTATGACGATGGGGAGTGGGTGTGAAACCTGCTTGATTGAGCGTATTGTCATTTATGAACAACCCGTTTTAATTGTGCACTAAATGTAGAAATATTTAAAGAATTATATTGAGCGAGAATATAGAAGTTACTTTTCTGAAAATCGGAATAATTCGCCCTCCGCCGTGTCGATTTTTAAAAAAAGCGCGAGTGAGGTTGAATCGGGTGTTCAATTCACTCAGCGCGTGCGTCCTGGATGCTATCGATACCCCAACACACAGGCACGGCAGGGAAAGATGGGCGCCACACGGTGTCACCTCGCGACGCTGGGTACGGCAGCACGCCGAGGTTGTTGTTACACAGGCCGGGATACGGTTTCTTTATGCTGACATGTGGAAATATGGTGCGGATAGTGTTCTACATCAAGGTAAGTCGAGATTCGGCGGCAATGTTGATTAAAACACGACGGTTTACGTTATTTTATTAGACACAGTTGCACACTCAACAAAACAAACACTGAGCATTACAGTTACACCAGCGTTACACACAACTGTAGATCCAGCTCTAGACTGTAGACCAGTTGTTTGACAGTACAATGCCACGATAACTCACCTCGCACACTCTCATCACAGACGCATATGCGAAATAGGGGCCTAATTATTTAGATCAATGCTTGTAGGTTGTAGGCCTATTCTTTGTTAAATACATTTATTTATAGATTCTAGATCTAATTCTAGTCTAAAAAGTTATCAATAACTATGGTTATTCGATAATTCTGCCGTTCTTTTGATTTTATCATTTTAATAAGTTTCACAACACTGTAGTTTGTAGCAAATCTAAGGCCTAATTTAATTGTAATAAAAAAATCATTAAAAATGCT